GTCCTTGGACAATTTAGAGCCTTTAAAATCTTTAGTCTTTAGACTCTTTTTCCAATCAATGGAAATTTTAAATACTTTGGGAATTACTAGGAGTTTTATAAAGCTTAAAATTTCTGCAGGCTCTTTAAAAATGTTTAAGATTTTATAGGATCTTTTTTAAATTTAGAACGTTAGGACTTTATTTAGAATCTTAAGCGTCTTTACATTCGCAATTTCTAGTGTATGTAATCCGTGAAAGCTTCCATACTTTTTGAAACTGTGGAATCTTTGAAATCTCTAGAATCTAGAATCACTAGAATTTCTATAATCTTTAGAGCTTCCAGATTTTCATTATTTAATTATAAACAAAAAATAATACCAATCAAAGAAAATCCATTATATATATTTTGTTCATTTTTTGTAAAAGTAAGCCAAGTTTACATTTTTTCTAGTTTTACGAGCAAAGAGTAACCCCGCCCACCCACCCCTTCATCATTCCAGTGACTACTCTTTCTTCAATTCTATATTAGCAAGTTTAACATTTACCAAAATCAGTCTTATCTTATCAAGTAGCAGGCCCGCCCACCCGCCCTCTATTTTCTTAGAAGGTATATCATCTGCCACAGTCAGTCTTATCTTAGCTAATACTAGCGCCACCCTTTATTTTATTTTTTAAAGAGTATGTCATTTACTAAAATCAGTCTGACTGTAACAAGTACTAGCCGCGCCCCCCAGCCCTCTATTTGCTACAATCAGTCTTATGTTAGCAAGTACTAGTTAAGATACAACTGATTTTGGCAAATGACATACTTTCTAAGAATAGAGAGGGAGGGTGGGCGGGGCTAGTATCTGTCAAGATAAGATTGATTTTGGCAAATAAGATATCTTACAAGAAAAGAGCGGGCGGGTGGGCGGGGCGAGTACCTGATAAGATAACATTGTCTTTGGCAAACCTTCTAAGAAAAGACAGGGTGGGTGGGCAGGGTTAGTAGTTGCTAAAATAATCGTTACAGTCTCCAAGACTTACAAGATAATAATAAGAAGATTTCAGATTTTTTTTTAATTTTTAGAATCTTCGGGATTTTGAGAGTTCACGCGATTTTTACTAGTTTTAGAATCTTTGGCTTTTTGGAATTTGTCTAGAACCTTTAGAATATTTTAAGTATTCGAAACAGAATTTTAGCTTTTGACCCCTTAAGAGTCCTTAGATCTTTTAGAGTTTTTAAAATCTTTAGTCTTTTGAGTATTTAGTCTTTAGATTCTTTAGAGTCTTTCCAATCTATGGAAATTTTGAACACTTTGGGAATTACTAGGAGTTTTATAAAGCTTAAAATTTCTGCAATTTCTAGGATCACTAGTACCCGCAGGTTCTTTAAAATTTTTAAGATTTTATTGGACCTTTTTTATATTTAGGACGTTAGAACTTGAATTTATTTAGAATCTTAAGTGTCTTTACATTCGCAATTTCTTGTAAATGTAAACCGTGAAAGCTTTTATACTTTTTGAATCTTTCAGACCACTGAAAACTTTTGAATCTTAAGAATTTCTAATTTTCTAGAATCTAAAATCACTAGAATTTCTATAACCTTTAGAACTTTCAGATTTTCATTAGTTTTATATACTTGAGTACCTATCTCTTGAATTTTAAATATTTGGAACGATATTCCTAATATCCATACAAAAATTGACCTAAACGTCGGAAACGAGAGACCTATGTTTTCGTATTCTAGGGGTCATGAGGCGTCAATTTTCGGGAAAACATTCCAGGTACACTTTTACAACACCTTGCCAAAATTAAAATAAATATCTCTTTCTAGATAACATTACTACACTGTAGTAATTATTTGTAAGTAAACCATTCAAGCAATTACTATGCCACCCATTCATCCCCCCTTTCCATTTCATCACCCATTAAGTCCCATTCATAAACACATCATTTTTCCACCGCAAATTCATTCCCATTCTTCTCACACTATCTGCCACTTTATAAAAATCCGTACGCACTCCTCATACATTAACATCTAAAGGCGTGTCCACATTCCACAACTTTGATCGAACGTGCATGTAAATATTTTTTTTTTTTTCATTTGCGGCTTGTAAACAACACAAGAGTCACCTTGAAGCAGGGGCGGCTGGTCAGGGGCGGCAGGGTCGGCCACGCCGTACCAGTCATTTTAAAATACTTAGTAAGCGTTGAAATTAGAAAATAAAAAAATAAATAAAGTTTGAATGTACGTTAGGATAGATCATATATATTAAAAATATATTTTATTATGTTGTAGGTACAAAATAAAGCATTTGTTGCTAATTTTAAATGCTGATAAACACGCTTTGCCGGCGAGATTTCGGCAAGCCGTACCCAGGAATGCATTATGCTCGATGTTTCGACTTCGTAGCAGCTTACGGTTTCATCGTTCTCTTTGTCTAGTACACTGTAGTAGACAAAGACCTGGCGGAACGTATGTTGTGCCAGGTCCGGCGAAATCCTCCTTCGCCGTACCCAGCAACGCGAATTTAGTTTTTAAAACGCTTAATATTTAAGATAGCTAACCAAATTACAAAACAATAACGGCTTCGATGTTCTTCAGTGCATACTATTTTTTTTTAAATAATAATTGTCGATTTAATACATTTTTCTGTCTATGAATAATAAACGAAAAAAATTACATTAAATTATCTAAAATTTTATTTTTCGTACATAACTTAGCTACACCATAAATGCGCTTTTTCTGTATTTTTAGCATCTAAGCGTTTTCAGATATTTCAGAAACGAATTTAAAGTTTTAAATCATTTTAATTTTTCAATTATTCAATTAATTTATTTGACAATTTGTCATATACATTAAAAATAAATAAATGTAAATGAAGATAGTTAACAGTTGGTACTTTTATTATTACTTTTTTTATATTTTTTAACTGCATGTCATTATTTAATTATTATTATTTAATTGTGGATGTCCGGGGTCGGCAAGCCGTATAGCCGCCGGTCGACGCGGAACTCAGTAAAAATAATGTTTTCGGTGGTTCTCAATTAATGATAAAGCAGAACAAGTAGAATTAAGGATTAATAGTATTTGGAATCAAACTGACATAGTCAATTTCCTATAAAAAATTATTTTAACAGGTCGAAACATTTGAGATGTTTTGTACATCCTGGCACGTAAAATGTCAGTGGTTAATGAGTAGCAGCCATACATTACGAAAATATATAACACCAAGGTGTAGACTCAAAATATTTGGCCGACCCGAAATTTTGACCCACCAGCCGCCACTGCCTTGAAGGCGATCAAATATTTTCACAATATGACACTGTTTTACAGAAAAAAGACCCATCTCTAGAGCTGATTACCAATTCAAATTTCAAAATTGCTATGTTGCTATGAATTTACAATGGAGATAGAGACTTACGAAATTCAATGCTAATCTCCATGTCGTAAAATAAATCACAGAATCGTGTTGGTGACAGTTACTGGAATTTTTTTATTGGTTGGCAGAACTGTTTGGGAGGGAAATTTGAGATGGTTACGCATAAATTTCGACATTGTGTGGTTAAATAATGATTTAGTGTTTTGAGTGGGTTGATTTGATCGTTTTGTTGCAGAAATAGTTACAATGTTATTATGCGTTAGATAAAAGTATACCGTATCTTGTAAGAAATAATTTCCTTGTATTTTTGTAGTTTTGTTATAAGTTAGCTTAGCAAAATCGCCATAATGATCTTTTTGCTTATAGAAATCGGAATGAAAGTGAAATTGTTAATTAGGTGTTAATTTCTCTTCATTCAGTATTTGAAAGCTTGAATATCCTCACAAAAACAGTCATGTTTACTTACATGCTCGATTTATAAGTAAGTAAAGTTTCAAGTTTTTTTGTTTAAAAACCCATACGCTATTTGTAAAATAACTACAATTCAGATTCTAAATGACAATTTTAAATACTATCTTCAACACAGTAATGAATCCAAATTGTACCGAATTAAAATGAAACGCTCGTCGTTATTTTAAGTAACACAGAATTAATTCCGGTAGGAAGTAGACAGGTATTGTTTACAAACGGTACGCACTTCCTACTTTATGCTTGACTAAAAAACTTCTACTTTTTTCAGAGTGGTCAAGTACCTGTAGCAGGTACAAACTTTCTTCACACATGACCTACCTGAAATAACGTTGTAGGGTTCTCCCCTATGGTATGTATGTCGAGGAATGAAACAACTCAGGTGGAAATGATAGCAGGTATCTCGGATCTTGAGTGCTTCACTTAATTAATTTTCCGACGTTACATTCTGGCTAACTGAAATAATGACTGTTGCGACAGAAACAATCACTGTGTTTTTGTGATGGACATGTGAAGATATTCAGAATTTGACAAAGTTGATAATCTTGATTGATATCCTGAATATTACAAAACGATAATCTTATCCGACCAATTTAAAATAGTAATAACATGATTGATAAAGTATGTGTTAATAAACTGTGCTCTAAACTTGATTAAAAAAAATTAGAGGTAGTAGTAGTCATTTTGTTAATGTTCATTGTTTCAGAACTGGCACTATACACAACATGTTTTGGACATTTAAATTTAGAATTCGTTCCACAAACACTTCTAAAACAAATATAACGATTTTCACCAAAAAATCCAAACAATTACAAATATCCCAATTTCGACCTCGAGTTTCCGCCAACTTCCCGGTTTTCGTCACACATACTAAACACGAAAATTGTTAATTTCCAGACAATTTCTTATCACAACACACCTCGTAACTACACATAGATAAAACTTAAATATTGCCAATGCCAACAGCGGTGACTCTATTGTTATTGCAGTTTTCGCCGAACAATAAATAAAACCAACCCACACAACTTGACAGTTACAAATTCACAAATTAATCACCCGAAAACTTTGATCTTTCATAACGGCTTTTTCTCTCCATATAATCATCACTAATACCAAAAAATTTTTTGTATCTGTGTCTGTCTGCCGCAAACTTCACCCACACTTAATAAACTATAAAACACCCTTACCAAATTTTTCACAAGACGCGTATATCCCCGATAAAAATCCACTTGGGACACCACCAGCAGACACAATTCACAAATGTCAATTCGAGGTCCATTTCCTTTCGGAAACTCTAAAGCGAGAGAAAATTCGTATTTTCACGCACGGAACACCGATCAACACACACGGTTTAGCCTCGGTTGAGAAGTAAGAACCGCGTCTTTCGAACCGACCGCGTTGGGGCCTCCACTCTCCCTCCCTCGCGTTGACCGTGATTCTGTACCATGGTCGATGGTCGACAAAGTTTATTTTACCATTTTACCTGTTGATGGGCCTACGGCATACGTTGCGCGTGTGTGCGATGGGCGTTGTGGACGGGAAGATGGATTGTGCGTTTGTGACAGGGACAAGAGGGCAAGGGGAGATAATCTGAACCAAGAAACTTTATTACTTACCTGTAATGATTGTGCAGGGGGTTTCAGCTCAGCTGGTTAAATTACGTCAAAATCTACTGTTTCGACGTAAAACGAATCCCAAAATAAGAGGATTTTATTGAAAGTGTAGCAAAGAGTCTCATTTCCAAAAATCATAGTCCACATTTGTATATTTTTCATTTTATAATATTACGAACTTGCCTCTCCCCTGAAGCACAGTCAGTTAAACAAGGGCAGTTTTTTTGATAAATCACAAAAACTGACTACCCACAGAATTTATTTTTTCTTGATAACATGTTTTTAAACCATTTTGGCCAATGGGTTTTGATGATGATCCCTGATATATTATTAGAAGAGTTTTGGAAGAAAAGCGGCGAAAGAATACTAGTTCTAGTTATAAAAGTGACTATTAATATTTGGGATTTTTTTGTCAGGTTGGCAACCTATTTAAAATTGTATGAAGGCATACCTGACTGTCAAAGTGACATTTACTTTTTTCCTTTTTGTTTTAATATGTGTAGATTTCTTTTGACAACATGAAACTTAAAAAAACATGTTTAAAATGGAACTAACTAACTTAACTTGATAACTAGAAAAATTCACTATTTCTTATTGTCGAAATAAGTCTGCACTTATTAGGAAAAAAAGGCAAAATGTAACCCCACCCACCCGCCCTATCTCAATTGTGATGATTTTTTTTTATTCGTCGTAAGCCAAGGAGGCGGAGCTTCACTGCAAAATCCTTATTTCTCTACGAGAAATACATACATACATAGCCTGATCTAAATAGTAATGAAGTTTTCATTCGTTGTCAGACCTAGGGGAGGCGCCTAATTGCAAAATCCATATTTCCTTGCAAAAATAGGTATACCCTTTTAAACGTGTTTTCAGTTTATAAGAATAAAAAAAATGGGCGGGGTTTATATTTTGCCTTTTTTTCTTAATATATATATAGTATTCTTTGACCAACACGATAGGTACTCAAAAACATGTTATTAATTTCTTGTAAAGAAATAAGTATTTTGCAATTTAGCTCCGCCCCCGTGGTTCACGGGGAATAAAAAAATTATCACAATCGAGATAGGGCGGGTGGGCGGGCTTACATTTTGCCTTTTTGTTTTAAAATGTGGAGACTTCGTTTCGCAACATGAAACTACGAGAAATTTTTAAAATACTTATTTAGTTTATAAGTATATATAAATTTACAACATCTTAAAAGTTGAAAGCAGTTTTATATTGGAAGTTCTAAAAATTTTAGCTTTTCTAAAAACTCGAGATGAACGAAAAGATTTTTATTACACGTTGTTATCTTGAAAATTGTTTTAGAATCTTTAAAATCGTGATCGAATTTTGAAGATCTTAATTTATAATGCATTCAAAATTTTAGATTTTTAAATTTGTAGAATTATTAGAATTAGTAAAACAGTGTAAAACCTTTGGATTCTTTGGAATACTTAAAGAAGTTGAAATTTCTGGATGTTCTGAAAACGTTGCAATATTTTTTTAAAAATTCACTGGACTATTGTTGCAAGTTGTAGATAAGTATTTAATTTTTGGATTTTTTTTTAGAAATTTTTTCGGATTCTTAAGGATTTTTTCGTATTCTACCCGATTCTCTAGGGGTCTCGCGGATTCACAGGGATTCTCTCGGATTGTTTCGTTTTGTCTCACATTTTTTCGCATTTTCTCGAATTTTCTCCGATTTTCCTTGAATTATTTTGTGTTCTCTCGGAATTTTCCAGTTTCTTCAGAATTCATTCGGATTCTCCCAGATTTTTTTCGTATTCTCTCGAATTCTTTTGAATTCCATCGGGTTTAGGAATTTCTCGGATTCTTTCCTCTTCTCCTGCTGATTCTCTCGTATTCTTCCGTATTCTCTAAGATTTCGCTCGGATTTTTTCGGATTCTTTCGAATTATCTCCGATTATCTTGTGTTTTTTCGTATTCTCCAGGATTCTTTCAGATTTCTCGGATTCCATCGGCTTTTCTACGTTTTCCTTGAATTATTTTGTGTCCCCTCGGAATTTTCCAGTCTCTTCAGAATTCGCTGGAATTCTCCCGGAGTTTTTCGTATTCTCTGTCATTTTCGGATTCTTTCGGATTCTTTCCTTTTCTCTTGGATTCTTTCGTATTAGCTCGTATTTTTTCGAATTTTTGCGTATTCTATCATTTTTTTTTGGATTTTTATCAAATTTTCTAGAAGACTGTCGGATTCTTTTGGATATATTCGTATTCTCCCAAATTCGCTCGGATTCTCTCGAATTTTTTCGTATTCTCTGTCATTTTTTTGGATTCTTTCGAATCTTCTTTCGAATTTGTTTGTATGTTATTGGATTCTCTAGAAGTCGATTCTCGTGGATTTTTTCGTATTCTCCCGGATTTTTTCATATTCTCTTGGATTTTTCCGGATTCTATCGGGTTCTCTAACAATTTGTCCAATTATTTCAGATTCTCCCGGATTCTCTTGGATTCACTCGGATTGAGTCGGATTCCTCGGATGTTTGCGTCTTCTTTCCAATTTTTTCGAATTTTGTCCCATTCATTAGTAGTCATTCGGATTCTTTCGGGTTTTCCGGGTTCTTTCTCATTCTCCCCGCTTTTCTTGGATTTTTTCGTATTTTCTCGCATTCTTTCGATTTTTTTTTTGGATTTCATCCTTTTTTAGAAATGCTTAAGGGTTCTTAAGGATTTTTTCGTATTCTATCCGATTCTCTAAGAGTCACGGATTCACAGGGATTCTCTCGGATTGTCCCGGATTTTTTCGCATTCTCTAGAATTTTCTCCAATTTTCCTTGAATTATTTTGTATTCTCTCGGAATTTTCCAGTCTCTTCAGAATTCATTCGGATTCTCACAGATTTTTTTCGTATTCTCTCGAATTCTTTTGGATTTTTTGGTATTTTGTCCGATTCTGTGGCATTCTTTCCTCTTCTCCTGAATTCTGTTGTATTCTTCCGTATTCTCTAAGATTTCGCTCGGATTTTTTCGGATTCTCTCGAATTATCCCCGTTTCTCTTGTGTTTTTTCGTATTCTCTCGGATTCTTTCAGATTTCTCGGATTCCATCGGGTTTTCTACGTTTTCCTTAAATTATTTTGTATTCTCTCGAATTCTTTCCTTTTCTCTTGGATTCTTTCGTATTAGCTCGTATTCCTTCGGATTTTTGCGTGTTCCGTCAATTTTTTTTTTATTTTATCGAATTTTCTAGAAGTCTTTCAGATATTTTCGTATTCTCCCAAATTCGCTCGGATTCTCTCGAATTTTTTCGTATTCTATGTCATTTTTTTGGATTCTTTCGAATCTTCTTTCCAATTTGTTTGTATGTTATTGGATCCTCTAGAAGTCGATTCTCCTGGATTTTTTCGTATTCTCCCGGATTTTTTCATATTCTCTCGGATTTTTCCGAATTCTATCGGGTTCTCTAACAATTTGTCCAATTATTTCAGATTCTCCCGGATTCTCTTGGATTCACTCGGATTGAGTCGGATTCCTCGTATTTTTGCGTCTTCTTTCGAATTTTTTCGAATTTTATCCGATTCATTAGTAGTCATTCGGATTCTTTCGGGTTTTTCCGGATGCTTTCTCATTCTCCCCGCTTTTCTTGGATTTTTTCGTATTTTCTCGCATTTTTTCAGCTTCTCTTCAGTTTTCTTCGAATTTCTAGTATTTTTTCGTATTCTCTCGCTTTCACTCGGATTCTTTCGGATTTTTACGTCTTCTTCCGATTTTTTTTGGATTTCATCATTTTTTAGAAATTCTTAAGGATTCTTAAGGATTTTTTCTTATTCTACCCGATTCTCTAGGAGTCTCGGATTCACAGGGATTCTCTCGGATGGTCCCGGATTTTTTCGCATTCTCTCGAATTTTCTCCAATTTTCCTCGAATTATTTTGTATTCTCTCGGAATTTTCCAGTCTCTTCAGAATTCATTCGGATTCTCCCAGATTTTTTTCGTATTCTCTCGAATTCTTTTGAATTCTATCGGGTTTAGGAATTTCTCGGATTCTTTTGGATTTTTTGGTATTCTGTCCGATTCTGTCATATTTTTCCGTATTCTCTAAAATTTTACTCGGATTTTTTCAGATTCTCTGGAATTGTCTCCGATTCTCTTGTGTTTTTTCGTATTCTCGCGGATTCTTTCAGATTTCTCGGATTCCATCGGGTTTTCTACGTTTTCCTTAAATTATTTTGTATTCTCTCTTCAGAATTCGAGGGAATTCTCCCGGATTTTTTCGTATTCTCCCGAATTCTTTCCTTTTCTCTTGGATTCTTTCGTATTACCTTGTATTCCTTCGGATTTTTGCGTGTTCCGTCAATTTTTTTTGGATTTCATCGGATTTTCTAGAAGTCTTTCGGATATTTTCGTATTCTCCCAAATTCGCTCGGATTTGGTCGAATTTTTTCGTATTCTCTGGCATTTTTTTGGATTCTTTCGAATTTGTTTGTATGTTATTGGATTCTCTAGAAGTCGATTCTCCTGGATTTTTTCGTATTCTCCCGGATTTTTTCATATTCTCTTGGATTTTTCCGGATTCTATCCGGTTCTCTAACAATTTGTCCAATTGTATATTTCAGATTCTCCCGGATTCTCTTGGATTCACTCGGATTGGGTCGGATTCCTCGGATTTTTGCGTCTTCTTTCGAATTTTATCCGATTCATTAGTAATCATTCGGATTCTTTCGGGTTTTTCCGGGTTCTTTCTCATTCTCCCCGCTTTTATTGGATTTTTTCGTATTTTCTCGCATTTTTTCAGCTTCTCTTCAGTTTTCTTCGAATTTCTAGTATTTTTTCGTATTCTCTCGCTTTCACTCGGATTCT